GGACAATAAGGAGCAGGGCGGCGCTCCATCAAGTGACCATGGGTTAAGCGAGTATGGCCAATACGCAACCTCGCCAGAGCTGTTTCCCACCGCTGGTTACGGTGGAAGGAGGACTGCCACGAGGAAACACAACATTTAAGAGTACGTAGCTTGTTACCAGTAACAGACAACCAAGAAGCCTGCCAACGGGTAAGGACTGAGGAATGGATAACCGGGTAAAAGAATGCCCTTACGAGAGATGGGACAAGAGCGGACAGCTTCCTTGGCGGCAGCATCCGCACATGCATTTAAAGACACACCAATATGGCTGGGAACCCAACAAAACTCAACCGACTTAAATTTACTGTGAACGAGAAACAGCCAATGCTGGATCTCGACAACCACTGGATGAACCGGAGTAAAGGACCCGAGAGCCATGAGGGCACTACGAGAGTCAACAACAACTACAAAGGAAGACTGACAACGAGAAAGCAGGAGACGAAGAGCATAGAGAATAGCATAAAGTTCCGCTGTAAAGATGCTAGTCTCCGGAGGCAAGCGACACATATAAGTGCGATCAGGAAAAACAACAGAGTAGCCAACACCGTCCGCTGACTTAGACCCATCGGTGAAGACAGAAACGGAGCGGGAGTGAGAAGAAAAGTGCTCGAGGAAAAGGCGTTTTAGAACCGTAGGAGGGGTAAAAGCTTTAGTGATACGGGTCAAGGATGTACAAAACCGCGGAAGAGGGACCCTCCACGGGGGGAAAGAAGGAACAACACGAGGAGAAACATCAGAAATACGAACGGAAAGAGAATCCTGCAGGCGAGATAACCGGACAGAAAGAGGGAGGTGGTGAAGAGGAACAGGAACCGCAGGAGGGGTAAAAGTTAAAGCACGACAGAGGCGAGAGGAAGGATGTCGCAAGGACCGCGCAAGATAGCGAAGACAGTAGCGATCACGGCGGTCCTGGAGAGACAGGAAGCCAGTGTCAACATACAAGCTAAGGACGGGAGTCGAACGAAAGGCACCAGAACTGAGGCGCAACCCAGTATGGTGCAAAGCATCAAGACGGCGAAGAGTAGAAGGAGAAGCAGACGAGTAAGCAGGGCAACCATAATCGAGCTTAGACAGGACGAGAGAGGATTGTAAAGCAAGGAGAGTGCGCCTATCTGCCCCCCAAGAAGTATGGGACAAGACCCGAAGGAGGGTAAGGGCCTTAGAGCACTCAACACGGGGGTAAGAGATATGGGGAGACCAAGACAAACGAGTGTCAAGGAATAACCCCAAAAGCTTTGCGGAATCTTTGTATTCAAGGGGATGACCATAAAGTGACAAAGAGGGACGAAGAACAACCCGTTTCCGCGTAAAAGTCATGGCACAAGTCTTAGAAGTAGAGAACTTGAAGCCATGATCGGTGGCCCAAGACGACACGGCATCAATTGCAAGCTGAAGCCGGCGTTGAAGGAGAGGTGAATCATCACCCTGACAACAAAGGGTAAGATCATCGACATAGAGAGCGGAGAAGACACCAGAAGGAAGAGAGGAAAGAAGACCATTGAGGGCAACCAGAAAAAGAGTAGTGCTCAGAACACTACCCTGGGGCACACCTTCGTATTGCTGAAAAGAGGCAGAGAGAGCGATACCAAGGCGCACCCGAAAAGAACGACGAGAGAGGAAGCCACGGAGAAAGAGAGGGAGATGACCACGAAGGCCAAAAGAATGAAGTTGAGATAGGATATGATAACGCCAAGTGGTGTCGTAAGCCTTTTCCAGGTCAAAAAGGACGGCAACAACGGAGGTCTTCGCAGCAAAAGCAGTACGAATATAGACCTCCAAGTTCACCAGGAGGTCTGTCGTGCTGCGGCACTTGCGGAAACCAAATTGAGAAGGGGAGAGGAGGTGATGGTGTTTCAGGAACCACATCAGACGAACGTTAACCATACGTTCAAAGAGTTTGCAGACACAACTTGTGAGAGCAATAGGGCGAAAGTCCTTAGGGGAAGTACCCAGAGACCCCGGTTTGCGAACAGGGAGGACAACGGCATCGAGCCAGTCCTCAGGGACTGACGACGACTCCCAGATCCGATTATACAGACTCAGTAAATACTGAGACGTGCTCGGAGGGAGATGGCGAAGCATCTCATAATGAATACCATCGGAGCCCGCCGCCGTAGAACCGCAGAGGGCCAGGGCAGAACGAAGTTCAGAGAGAGAGAAGGGATACAAGAAGGCAAGTGAACAAATAAATGGGTCTATTATTTTTGCAAATTATTACTTATATGCACATATTTGTTTATATATTAATTGTATATTTGAATATGCTAAATTATCTATTAAATCACTTTTTATAAGATAAATTGAGAAAATGATTCAAAATTAATTTTTTTTTAATCTGGATCTGGAACAGAGTACTGTTGATTCAAATTTTGTAGGTGCCATTTTTCTCCCAAATTTGCATAATACAATACCATGCAAACAGCAAGCCACCTGCTAAATAGAACATTTGCCTACCTTTCGTAAAATATCTTGGGGGGGGGGGGGGTTTAAGGGATGTAAAGGTTACTAGTTCATACTAAAACCATTTAATAGAAAGGAATCTATCAAGATATTTAGTACTTTACTTACGCTCCCTTTATACACTCATTTATGCGGAAAACGGAAGAATTATACGAAGTTCCGCAAGACTGTATGCTTACTCCCATTGCGTGTTTCTCTTGCGTGCGTCAATGCATAAGGGTTAATAATATAATGGGTTCATCTACTACACACACACAGGATACACCGGCTGCACTGATAATGTCCAAGGAAAGTAAAGACATAGAATGACGAGCAAGATTATGATATTGCTTTTCATGAAATAATGTAATTAGCAGCAGAAAATAATTAAAAACAAGAACCATTTTACAGATCATGCAGATATAGAGAAATGAAAAATCATATCTGGTGATAACTAACAGTATCAGCAGGCATTTAATAAATTACTTGCATAACTATAATATTGAACACCACAAATAAACTAAGCTTCCAACAAGAAAATGTTGATGACGAACATAAACAAGACCCACACAGTCAAGAGAGAAACTATCATTTGGTATATACACACATTATTTACAAATCAGCATCAGTCGCTAGAAACAAGGAAATGACAAAATAAAGGTCAGAAGGACAAGACGAGCCAAGAGACTGGAGCGTAAGACGAGCCAAGAGACTGGAGCGTAAGACGAGCCAAGAGACTGGAGCGTAAGACGAGCCAAGAGACTGGAGCGTAAGACGAGCCAAGAGACTGGAGCGTAAGACGAGCCAAGAGACTGGAGCGTAAGACGAGCCAAGAGACTGGAGCGTAAGACGAGCCAAGAGACTGGAGCGTAAGACGAGCCAAGAGACTGGAGCGTAAGACGAGCCAAGAGACTGGAGCGTAAGACGAGCCAAGAGACTGAACCGTAAGACGAGCCAAGAGACTGGACCGTAAGACGAGCCAAGAGACTGGACCGTAAGACGAGCCAAGAGACTGGACCGTAAGACGAGCCAAGAGACTGGAGCGTAAGACGAGCCAAGAGACTGGAGCGTAAGACGAGCCAAGAGACTGGAGCGTAAGACGAGCCAAGAGACTGGAGCGTAAGACGAGCCAAGAGACTGGACCGTAAGACGAGCCAAGAGACTGGAGCGTAAGACGAGCCAAGAGACTGGACCGTAAGACGAGCCAAGAGACTGGACCGTAAGACGAGCCAAGAGACTGGACTGTAAGACGAGCCAAGAGACTGGAGTGTAAGACGAGCCAAGAGACTGGACCAAGACGAGCCAAGAGACTGGACCAAGACGAGCCAAGAGACTGGACCAAGACGAGCCAAGAGACTGGACCAAGACGAGCCAAGAGACTGGACCAAGACGAGCCAAGAGACTGGACTAAGACGAGCCAAAAGACTGGACTAAGACGAGCCAAGAGAGTCTAAACATTCTAGTATACATCAAATATCAGTCAACAATTATAGGAATTTTATTACCCAATAATTTCATATATTGCACTTGAATTGCAACAAAAAAAAATCCAGCTACTCTCTGCTTCTCGATAACTATCACAAGAGGCTGTCTGTCAACGTACATCATTGCATGGTAGACGACCAGGGGCCAGATTCACAAAGCAGTTACGCAAGCACTTACGAACCTGCATATCTTTTCTCAATCTTTGGCGGTTTTGTTTACAATTATTTAACAGTTAACGAGCTCCAAAGCACCAGGAGGCTGTTTATAACAATAACAACAGTTGATTGGGAAATTTTCATCCTTGTAAACTGCTTAATAAATGTAACCAAAGTTGTCAAAAATTAAGGAAAGGTGTACACGTTTATAAGTATTTGCGTAACTGCTTCGTGAATCTGGCCCCAGTACTGTCGCCATCATGTTTTTCACTTGTATCATTAATAAATGTCCTTCAAACACTCCTTTCATTAGAAAACATTTCCTATTATTCAACTTAAAACACATTGATAATGTAAATTAGTGTTACCTGCTTGATGGGGATCTGGGATCTACTCCCAAGCCCGGCCCGAGACCAGGCTTGACTTGCGAGAGCTTGATACCTGCTTTATGGGGTTCTGGGAATTCTTCTACTCCCCAAGCCCAGCCTGACTCAGTCTATCTGGCTAATATGTCTATACTGAATGAAGGACAACACAGTTATAGTTGATAACATGTTAGCTAGAACAGTTATTCCTTAGATACTCAAACTACCAAAACCTTTATCGAATAATTAATTGAATAATATGACCCCAATTAATATGACAAAATTAAAACTGTATCCACCCAAATGTAGTTCGCCATCTATGCCAATTGTAAATAACACTTACGTATTCAGCATGTATTATTCATGAAACAATGAAAACAAATGCAAGTTTGTTAATTCTGTATAAATTGATAAATAAAATATCCACCCAAAGTTCTAGATCTATTAACAACTCTGCAATTTATACAACAATCAAGAGTATATTACCTGAAACAGCTTCGAGGGATACACATCTAGACACTAGGCTTAGGGGCAATTTTTTTTTATCTTTTTAATTCCTGTTATTGCCTACTAGAAGAAAAAAATACATTAAAAAATCTGACAAACCTTCAGTAGATTCATTTTTCCAAGAGATTGCCACAGAAAACTAACCCAATGAAAACCCATAATTATACACTGCACCACCTGGCGAAATGTGATCCAAGACCTTACGTGTAGCATCAAACTAAAATATGAAAGTTAAAGCTGGAAATTATTACTGTAAACATCATGGTTTTAACAAGCCTTCAAAATGCAAAGTGGAAACCGGCTGGTCTTTACCAAACTCTCCACTTTATAATATGGATTAGGATAATATACAAGACAAATTCCCTGGGCAACCATTCCAAAGATATCAACAAAATATAGATGAATCACATCTTTCATAAAGCCTCTATTAGCAGCTTGAAGTATGTACTCTGTCACAACCTCCAATGAATAGGGAAATTGTAAACATAGAACAACTTGAATATTAGGTTATCATATACAAGTACTGTACAGAGGAACCTCAGGTGACGAGCGGCTCCATCTACAAGCATTTCAGGTAACGAGCGAGCCACTCGCAGAAAATTCGTCTGGATTGATGAGCTTCCACTCCGTTAACGAGAAAACCACGTTGTGCTTTCTAGCGTTTCCGTTGATTCTCGCAAATTTTTGGACGCCTCCGACGATACAAATCAATGAATTTTTTTAAAAATATGCTGATGATGCTGGGATGTAAAGGGGGTGACTGCTGTAATGTTGCAAAGCATTAAATTTTTGTTAGAAAAATTTGAAAAAAATTGAGAGAGAGAAAAAAAAAAAGTCAAAAGGTTAGTTCTGTGTATGTCAAGTAGGCTGCTCCATTTTCAATGAAAAAAAATAGAATATCATTAATATTTTTCGGTGGTGGAACACATTAATTCTATTTCCATTATTTTAAATGGGGAAATTCGTTTCGCAAGACGAGCGTTTCACATGACGAGCTCCGTGCCAGAATGGATTAAATTCGTTAACCAAGGCTCCTCTGTATTACCTAACGGCTATGTAACAAATTCCAGAACATTTCTATCCCTTTTAACAAACTAACTACCTGTCATTGTATACCACAAACAACTCAATATTTGATCCAAGTATTATCCAGTGATCCAAGTGGGCAATGTGATAAGGGCAACAAATTTCCAACAAATTTCCATGTTTGTTTCCCTAAAATTATCAGTCAGGTTCATTCGAATAATTTCTATAAAAATAAAATTCAAGATGAAGACAAGAATAAATATTGAATATCAACATGCAAAAACAAGTGCAGCAACAAAATGCATCCTACAGTACTTTATTTACACGTGTACTTTTATATTGCCTTATGTGGCCAACCACATCACATCAAATACATTATATTAATGAAATTCATACAGTAATCAACAGCTTAGCTCCCTTAAACTGCATCTAAATTATAAAATGAAAAACAAAAACTAAACTCTCCAGCTGTTAATAGATCACACAAGACCATCACTACGATAATGGACCAGATGACCCCGAGTCACCGATCTATTCGTCAAGCACACTCATACAAACATTAAGTTGGTACTAAAATAATATTGCTCAACTGTGGAGACAGCAAACTTGCAAAGTTCAACCAATGTGTTCAAGAGAGAACTTGATAAACATCTCCAAAGGATGCCTAATCAACCAGGCTGCAACTCGAACGTCAGGCTGCGACTCGAAGGTCAGGCTGTGAGCAGCCGCGTCCCACAGCCTGGTTGACCAGTCCAGCAACCAGGAGGCCTGGTCGACGACCGGGCCGCTGAGTCCTGAAACCATCTCAAGGTAACCTCAAGGTAATATAGTTGTCAAGATGGGCAACAAGCTATCAACCAATATAGTTGTCAAGATGGGCAACAAGCTATCAACCAATATAGTTGTCAAGATGGTCAACAAACTATCAACCAATATAGTTGTCAAGATGGGCAACAAGCTATCAACCAATATAGTTGTCAAGATGGTCAACAAACTATCAACCAATGTAGATGTCAAGATGGGCAACAAGCTATCAACCAATGTAGATGTCAAGATGGGCAACAAGCTATCAACCAATGTAGTTGTCAAGATGGGCAACAAGCTATCAACCAATGTAGATGTCAAGATGGGCAACAAGCTATCAACCAATATAGTTGTCAAGATGGGCAACAAGCTATCAACCAATATAGTTGTCAAGATGGTCAACAAACTATCAACCAATATAGTTGTCAAGATGGGCAACAAGCTATCAACCAATGTAGTTGTCAAGATGGGCAACAAGCTATCAACCAATATAGTTGTCAAGATGGTCAACAAACTATCAACCAATATAGTTGTCAAGATGGACAACAAGCTATCAACCAATATAGTTGTCAAGATGGTCAACAAACTATCAACCAATATAGTTGTCAAGATGGGCAACAAGCTATCAACCAATGTAGTTGTCAAGATGGGCAACAAGCTATCAACCAATATAGTTGTCAAGATGGTCAACAAACTATCAACCAATATAGTTGTCAAGATGGGCAACAAGCTATCAACCAATATAGTTGTCAAGATGGGCAACAAGCTATCAACCAATATAACTATATCAAGATGGGCAACAAGCTATCAACAACCATTTTCTTCCTCTAATTGAAGAGTTCAACAAGTAAAACCCTAAACCCACGCAGGTCAACATATAGGTGTTGCACAGCACAGCCCGGCTATGCAGGGATTACTCGGCTCATCATCAAACTATCAACACCACAACTAAAAAGCATAACAAAAAATTTCTAGTAAGGGTACAAAAGAATACCAAAAAAAAAGATTAAATAAAAGTAGATTTCCAATATAATATAATATTCACTTACTATGTATAGTTTCTGATTACTGGACATCACTTTTATTATAAATTTTTTCACATGTAATTGCATATACAGATAATCTCATTATCTTAATAAAAGATATCAGAGGCTTATTAAACCTAACAAAGAATTATGAGAAAACTGCAGCATTTGGACCCAAACATTTATTCCGTTTCAAAACATGCAAGAAACCAATTACCAAATATACTTGACAACCTGTGTGTGTACCCTATAAGCATGTTGACCAAACCACACACTACAAACTGAAGAGACGACGACGTTTTGGTCCGTCGTCGACCATTATAAAGTCGATTATGGACTTATCCTCCTGGACCATTATCACAATCGACTTGATAATGGTCCAGGACGAACTGAAACGTCGTCGTCTTTTCGCTTTCTAGTGTGTGGTTTGGTCGACATTTTTCAGCCACGTTATTGTGACTCCTCGTCCCCATAAGCTTATCGTGGGAGGCAGCCACAAAATGCAGCCAAGCAAATCTCGTTTTGATTTTTATATGGCTCAACTCTGATGATACATTTGCTTCGTTTAGAGGCAAGCTTTGACTATCAGTTATTAATTGTACCCCATTACAGTATAAAGTTTCTCCTCTGTAACAATGTCCATACTTATGGCATTCTAAGCAAAACTAAGCATTAATTCAAGACTGAAAATTTAAGAAGGCTTTTGCAAGAAATTAAAGTTAGATTCCCAACATTGAAATATTTGCAGAAATAACAGTACAGTATATGGCTTCTACACATTTATCTACAATTACAAATGCAACCCTTGAAAAGAATTATATCGGAAATAAAGACAAGTGTTTCGAGAGTAAATGGGATTATAATGAGCAAGGTTTTGAGATCTGCAGTAAACCTGGTCTTTGAGAGGGATGCTATTCAAGTTCATGCTGGCAAACTGAAGGAAACGTTATACACAGTGTCTATCTATATCTTGGACACCACCTTTCTTACGGGAAGGTGGTGTCCAAGATATATCCCCTAATGTCCAAGATATTATCCCCTTATGGGACCGCCCTTCCTTGAGGATAGTGACCGTGAGGGTCACAAGGCAGTTTCTTGAGGGGGGTGGTGACCACATTCATAAGCTTCCCGTTGTATTTCGTACGCCTTTACGTGCCAACACTTGTGAAGTGCGAGTGACATGCGTCGGGAACTTGTACGCGCAGGTTTGGCTACTGTACAAGTGAAGCAGTTGCCACTTGACGCCCATGAATAATGAATGTGTAGGAAGTATATATAAATATAGTACAGTGCATGCATGGAATTTAAATTATATATATTCTAGTTCAGGGGAACAGACCGATTCCTTGCAGCATCTTGGGTAACCGAGAAGTGTAGCCCTATATAAAAACACTGGGCTTAAATTATATTGGAGTTTTTATTAAAATATTGATATTTAGGGTTTTAATTTGCTGATGAAGCCCATAGTACAATACTATGAATATTATTATTAAGGAAAACATACTGTATAGCTATTTGATTTACATTTTAGCAGCTGGACTAAAATTCTATTTTAATTCAGTCTTTTGGTTGTAGTTATAAAAATAATATTTATAATACACTTCAGCTTCTCGTCACTAACTTGTATACATCAGTCAATGATTTTCTTATTATTTAACTACCCTGTGAAAATTACAGGTCGAAAACATAAGATCAAAAACTTGTTTTAAAAATGTCATGACGATTTTATGCCACTACCTATGTACATTTAGCACAATGTGGTTTTCGATAAATCCCCAATATACTTCTCAGCCATGGCATGAGTTTAACATCAAAATACAATATACATATTATTGGCAATTTATTATAAATTATAAGACAATATGACCCCAGCAATAACTGTGGAAAGTAAACCGATACAAATCCAAGTAAAGCACTGGAATGGACACACCAAAAAACAGTATTCAAATAGTGACAAGAATGAAAAATCGAGCTCGTAGTGCATCCGTCTGAAACATATTACAATTAAACAAGCACAAAGCAGGGGAAGAGCTGTTGTACAGGCCATAGAGAATGACATTCTTCACTGTGAATACCCTCAATCAAGCCACAATTACAAAACATCATTAGAACCTAACACTAAAGTGATACCAGATTCACAGTTAAGGCAGTTCCTATAAGTTATGCACAAGGTTTCACATTTACAACTCAAAATTATGACTAAAACCAAAACTGGTATAGATAGAGCAGCAAGTGTGGGAGTGTGGAAAATGAATCGGGAAATTTAGTACAACAGTTTGGGTACCTAGAAATGGCAAAATAAAGACATTTTGCTGTCACTGGCTTTGCTGATGCACCCTCGCAACTTTTACATTCTGTCAGTGTAGGCTGCACAGCTTTCAAATATAATAACCACCCAGGGAACTTCAATTTCTTTTTACACAATTCATTATATATACATTATACAGTATAACCACCTATAACCTGACTGGCCATTGCATAACCCCTTCCCTTCCCCTCCCCAGAATCAGTAATGCAATAGTACATCACGGCAACACACGCCCACACACACGCACACACACACACACGCACAGTCTGGGACGATCACACCACTGTGGCGCTTGACCAGAAACCACGGACAACCGCCACCCTTCCCTGAGGCTACACTACCGTCCCACCCGAGGCCAGGGGCCCTCCACCCATGGCCACAGCCGTTGTCGGACTGGGTGTAGAGTGTTGATTGCTACCAGGCTGCAAGAGAAATATTCACTATAGTTCATTAAAATAAACACACACACACACACACATTGTCCTATATGTAGTATTGTAAATACAAATTCCTACCCCCCCCCATTTATCACTTACTTTAACATTAAAAACAAACTGCTCCTACCACTCAATTTCATGGCTATTTACAATACAATTTTATGTAGTAAATATGCCATATTCTATAAACAGGAAATACAAATTTAATAAATACTGAAGTGGAAAAATAAAAGGCTAACACTTTAAGTTACGTAGATAAACTTCTGAACTGAAGGCGAGTTAAACAAAATGAATGAAGGAACTTCCTTACTGTTGAAATGCTTCACTTTAACTCCTTGCCCATCATGGAGTATAAATTCAACTGAAGATTACATTTGTATTCATTTTTACATAAATATACATTAGTGTAATGTCACCAGTTTCTAGACATTGGTACAGTAGTTTAAAAGGAAACAAATAAATTTCTGCATTGTTCGGTAAAACACCAAAAAATGGGCCGAATGTCGGCATATATATATATATATATATATATATATACCATGACACATTAGGAGTTACAAAGCATTCCTGGCATTTGTGTGGTATCCTATGAAATGATTCAATTTAATTTTTTGTTTTGGAGTGAACATGTTCACTCCATGTTCAGCAAGCATCCGAACACAGAGCAAGTGCTTACTGAGCAGTATCTCGGTGAAAACTGTAAGGTCTCCTTATTGGGGATACCTAAATAAAATCTCCCTATGGGACTAAGTAACTATCAAGTGAACCCAAAAAAAGAATTGAGGTATTTTTAATTATTGCATAATTGTTTCCAACACACGTGAGAAATGACAAAGGGAAACAATGGGGAATCAAAGTTAACGAGAAAAGACTGGTCATAGAAAAGTTGATAATCAAAGTTTTGGTGCACATGGAAATAGGCAGAAACACAACATTCCAGATTATCTCGACTAAATAGAGATATTTTTATAAATTTTGTTTTTAAATACTGTAACCCAAATCAAAACTTTCTTCATAAAATATACATTTCAGTAAACTAATGATGGTTCAGGAAGAGAGAGGAGTCATACCTGTTTTCCTGGCCGACACCAAGTGAGCACACAGCCATCTTGACACGAGGTAATTAGGCAATCCTCTCTGAAGATTAGGCCAGAGAGACGCTCATGACCAATTTTTTTGCAAATCATGGGCTCTAATACAGGACATTCATCTAATCTTGGACAGAGGGATGTACCCATAGGTCTGTAGGCGTCTTCAGGTAGTACTGTCGATCCTCCTACTTGATTTTTATTTACAGAACCTTTACAATTTTGTGTAGAATTTTTCGACGCCAAGCTCAGGCTTCGTTTATGGTCTTTCTCGCCTTTCTCTTTGTCTTTCTTTTCACCAAAGTTGAGGTTTGCGAGCTTGGCGGTAAGGGAGTTAGTCGAGTGGGAGTGGTGAGAAGAATCACTACCAACAGAAGACTCTTTTACACTGTTGCTCTTGGCATTAGCTGTCGGTTGTCCACTCTGAGGCACACCTGTTCCCCCACTTACACTTCCCCGTCCACTGCTACTAACAACGGTGCTCGATCTTGGCCGCAAGTATGGCTGCATTAAAACATCGTCCTTCAGGTCCCATAAACATAGCAAAGTGTCCTGTCCGACTGAACCTAATCGATAACTCGTTACGGATAACCCCAGTCCATCTGAGGCTAGAGAGTTTCTGTTCGAATTTGGCCTGGAATTTGGCGCACTATTATTTGTCTTACTACCTCTCACGTCATTACCAATGCTATTGTGTTTGACCATATCTTCGTTACACACATCAAACACATCCATATCACTATAAGTTGTTGTATAGGAATCAAATGCAACCACAGTCACCCAGCTTTTATGTCCTTGTCCTCTGGCCACAACTCTCTTTTCGTGAAACGACCAGATTGTAACGAGGTCGTCCTCGCCGCCAGTAACAACGTAACGGCCATCAGGCGACCAACACACACATAATAACCCTCCATAGTAACTTCTGGCACTACCCACTAAATCCATTGTATCAAAGTTAAAGACTTTCAAGTACCCATCCTGGGATACCACAGCCAGGTATTTGGAGCATGGCGAGAAGGCAAATTCATTAATGCTTCCCTCGCCAATGACCCATCTATAAAGTGGGTTTCTAGTACTTTTCGTTTTGCATGTATAGACGGAGTAGCCCTCGCCCTGTTTGAACAGCTGATAATGGGGTCTGTCAACACCACACAGGAGCTCCTCATTATAAGTGTACATGTGTCCACTGCTGTGGGCGGCCAGAAACTGATTGGGAGAACCCGGTATCCATCGGACACATGTCACTTTTGTCTTGTCTATCAATCTCTGCAAAGTAAAAAAAAATAATAATAATAATTGGAACACAAATTGTAATGGCAATTGTCAGAAATAGGTCAATTATTATTATTATTATTATATCCCCTTTCCCCCACCCCCCAAACAGAGTAGTCAATGCACTTTGTCAATTGCTTTGGTTTGCCGTTAAGGTTAAAAATGCAACATTCACTATCTCAAAACAACACATTTTACATTCTATTTCAGACCTCTGAGACATTCTGTTTTCTGAGACAATATATTGAAGAACATCTTACAACTGAAATGGCGGGGATCAAGCAAAATGAGGATTAATAATTGTTTGTTTACATCTACTGTAACTGTACCCAGAATGATGAATTAACTGTACCCAGAATGATGAGTTATATTCGATCAATCTGTCCTCCTAAGGTTTCTCAACATCAAGAAAATTATAAATTTAAAGTGTCCTCTCCGAACCTACCAGAGGACCCAAAACAGAAAACGGAACAGTACGTCACTTTCGTGAGCGGCCTCTGTTTTTTAGTACGATAATTTTTGGCCTTTAGTAACGCACACGAGTAAAGAGCAACTTTTTTGCAGGAGGACAGGTTGAATAAATGACTCGCACCTCTAGTGAATCAGCTGTGCTTTGGTTTTTGTACTCTTGAATTATGCTATGACTTACTTGAGAACCCTTTTAATGTGGCGTTGCCTCCGACAGTTTCTCTGCTGAATCACTGCTCCAAGTCATGAAGCAACATGATAAAATTAATTTATGATCTGCAGTTAAAATAATAATAATAATAAAAACTTCGGTTTATTAGAGGACGTCATTGCGAGCCTATTAGCTTTTGGTATGCCGAGATTGACAATTTTATACTTTAGTTAATATCCTGTTCTGGATTAACTGTTAGACTCTGGGATTAAACATAACAGCCCACGCCTGGCCATGTGTGTACCCCTCTACTGCTACAAGACTAGCAGCTCCAGAATATCGACAGAATAAGTCAATTTTAACTGTTCATACATTCAAGGGTTAGTTACCACTGTACTCAAAAGCACAGGTAGTATTATTATTATTATTATTAATGTAAGGAAGGGATCTTCGTAATGACTATTTGAAATACTGTACTGTAATAATTGTGTTGGAGAAAGTTACTTTTAATGGCTCCAGCCAGGTCAGTAGCTTTTCTGCACGGGCACTGTGGCAGGTTTACGCTAGAGAGAATCATTCTCCCAAAGACATAAACAAGTGCATAATGTTGATAAAGAAACAATCCCACATACATTCTGTGACTGAAAAGCACGTTGAAAATATAAGTGTTAAATGTAGATAGCCAGTCCTAAACAAAATAAGAAATAAAACAGAAATAAGATGTGAAACCAGAAAACAATGGAACGCTTGACGAAGGAAAGTAAATACAAGCCGATACGTGTTCACTTCTCTCTAAGTGATGGAACGTGTCGGGTGGTCATCATCCCACATGATAGCTCAAGTTGGATGGTCATCATCCCACATGATAGCTCAAGTTGGATGGTCGTCCCACATGATAGCTCAAGTTGGATGGTCGTCCCACATGATAGCTCAAGTTGGATGGTCGTCCCACATGATAGCTCAAGTTGGATGGTCGTCCCACATGATAGCTCAAGTTGGATGGTCGTCCCACATGATAGCTCAAGTTGGATGGTCGTCCCACATGATAGCTCAAGTTGGATGGTCGTCCCACATGATAGCTCAAGTTGGATGGTCGTCCCACATGATAGCTCAAGTTGGATGGTCGTCCCACATGATAGCTCAAGTTGGATGGTCGTCCCACATGATAGCTCAAGTTGGATGGTCGTCCCACATGATAGCTCAAGTTGGATGGTCGTCCCACATGATAGCTCAAGTTGGATGGTCGTCCCACATGATAGCTCAAGTTGGATGGTCATCCCACATGATAGCTCAAGTTGGATGGTCATCCCACATGATAGCTCAAGTTGGATGGTCATCCCACGTGGTAACTATAGTGCAGAGACTAACTTGTTACCATATAGGCTAGTTAGGAATAGGACTGATTATTCACATGTCCCGGTAGCGACTGGCCATTGTGTGGAGCTTTCCGCCATGTGTAGACCATTTTAAATTTGCTGTCAGTATGGTATTATTCTTGATCATGTGGTCTGTTGATATGTTGAAATCATACCTGTGGATGAACCAGTATAAAGCAGAGATAACTGTGCACTAGAGTCAAATAAGAACACTCTTAAACTATAGTAGGCTGCGGTGGTAATACAGTGCCGTACTTTTGAGTCTTTGGACACATCTACAGAAAAACCTTAGTATTTGAATGGCTCCAAATTCGAACAATTCAGCATACAGCAATTTCAAGGTAAAACACTTGGTAGTCAACCGTTTGCTCGGCACTTTAACGTACACACACACACACATTACAAACGAGTCGGTTTTCAGTAGCTGTCATTCAGTGCACAACCCCACTAAACTTCTGTAAACTTTCTCGGGTTTTTTGGAACATTTTTCTTATATTCTTAGTGTAGGTAGGTCACCATGGAGCCTAAGGAGGTTAGTGATAATTGTCTAACAAAAGGAAAATTGGTTAGAACCAAGACAGAGCTGAGAAAAGAACTCTTAGGAAAATATTAAAGTGGTAACTGCTTGTCTGTTCTTGCTACCAAGTTCGGTATGCCTAAATCTACAATCTCGATACTAAATAATAGAGAGGCCATCAAAGAAGTTGATGTTGCTAAAGGAGTGAAAGCAGTTACAAAATACACAGACAAATGAGGAGGTTGAGAAATACCTGTTCATTTGGATAAATGAACAACAGTGAGCCGTGACAGCACAATATATCCGAGATCATCATTTGTGAAAAGCAAAACAGCATGGTGATCTCTCGCAAAACAAACCCTGGAATGAGTGCTGCTAGTGAAGTGATTGAAGCCAGTGTTCAAAGCTAGTCATGGGTGGTTTGAGACAGTTAAGAGAAGTGGTATTCACAGTGTACCGAGGCACAGGGAGGTGGCGAGTTCTAACAAGGATGCAACTGAGAATTTTGTAATTGAGTTTAGGTAGTATGTGGAGGCTGAGGGTTTTATTCCCCAACAAGGGTTTGCGGGCTGCTCCAAGCAACAGCCTGTTGGACCAAGTTATCACAAGTACAGACTCGGGGAGTAAAAGAACCCCCCAAAACACACTCCATGTAAGTGTTCAGCTCTGATGAGACAGGTTTTTTCACGGAAAATGCTGCCTAAGACGACCCATATCACTGAAGAGAAGAAGTCATTGCCAGGACACAAGCCAATGAAGAGCGGACTGACTGTTGTTGCGTGGGCATGCAAGTGGGGACCTTAAACTAAAACCTTTGCTAGTCTACCACTCAGAAAATCCGAGGGTGTTTGAGAAAAACAAATTGATGAAAAGAAAGTTACAGGTAATGTAGAGGGCTAACAGCAAAGCTTTGGTAACCAGACAATGTTTGGTCGAGAGGGTTAATTAAGTGTTTGGTCCTAGTGTCAAGGGATACCTCGAGGAGAAACAATTGCCCCTGCTCATCCTCTAGGCATGAAGGATGAGTTAGTGCCAGAGTTTAACTTCATAATAGTCAAGTTCTTGCACCCCCACAACACAACTCCTCTCATCCAGCCCATGGACCACCAGGTAATTTCTAACTAAGAAACTGTACACTAAAGCACTATTCCAAAGGTACTTTAAACTGACCTCTGATACCCAGCTGAACTCTGTGAATTCTGGCAGAACCCCCTTCCTTCAACATCCTCTGCTTGATACCTGCTTGATGGGGTTCTGGGAGTTCTTCTACTGCCCGGCCTGGGGCCAGGCTTGACTTTTGAGTGCTTGGTCCATCAGGCTGTTGCTTAGAGCAGCCAGCAGGCCCCCCATATCCACCACAGCCCGGTTGGTCCAGCACTTCTTGAAGAAAATTATCTCGTTTTCTCTTGAAGAAATCCACGGTTGTTCTGGCAATATTTCATACACTCGCTGGGAGGATGTTGAACAACAGTAGACCTCTGATGTTTATACAGTGTTCTCCGATTGTGCCTATGGCACCTCTGCTCTTCACTGGTTCTATTCTGCATTTTCTTCCATATCGTTCACTTCAGTATGTTGTTATTTTACTGTGTAGATTTGGGACCTGGCCGTCCAGTATTTTTCATGTGAATATTATTTGATACCTCTTTCTTCTCATTTTTTGGGGAGAATTTTTTGTCTCCAAAACATTTGGAGAGTTTTGAAACGACCCCAATAATTTAAGCGATTTATCATGTTTATGTACCTTGCGATGATTTCACGGCTCAACATCCCTGCGGCCCGGTCCTTGACCAGGCCTCCTGGTTGCTGGACTGGTCAACCAAGCTGTTGGACGCGACTGCAAGCACAGCCTGACTTATGAATCACAGCCTGGTTGATCAGGTATCCTTTGGAGGTGTTTATCAAGTTCTCAAACACTGTGAGGGGTCGGCCAGTTATGCCCCTTATGTGTAGCGGAAGCGTGTTGAACAGTCCCGGGCTCGTGATGTTAATAGTTCTCCCTCAGAGTACCTGTTGCACCTCTGCTCTTCAACTGGAGTATTCTGCACATCCTGCCATGCCTCCTGATCTCATATTGTGTTATTTCTGTGTGCAGGTGAGGGACCAGCCCCTCTAATATTTTCAATGTTTAAATTATTATGTATCTCTTCTGTCTGCACTCAATACAGATTTAGGCTCTTTAGTCGGTCCCAATAGTTGACATGCATTACTGACTGAATTCTAGCAGTAAAGGATCTCTGCACCCTCTCCAGGTTAGCAATTTCTCCAGCTTTGAAAGGGTCTGTAAATGTGCAACAGTATTCCACACTAGAGATCACTGGCATCTTGAAAATCCTCATTGGCATAGCATTTCTCAATTAAAAAGTTCTTGTTATCCAACCTGTCATTTTTCTTGCAGTTGTGTTGGTTACTTTATTGTGTACTTTAATTAACCCCTCGGCTGCTCTTGTATTTATAGCCTGCAACACGCCCAAGTGCAAGA